TTTGTGTTGTTGTATTTGGTGGAGTAAGTAGCGTACTAACTGTAATGGAAAGAACAAGTCTCTCGTCTAATCTAGTTTGGTAAAGCTTTGCTGAGCAAGAAACTTCTGCTGTTTAAGAACACAGTAACTCGTTTATTTGCATAAAAGTTTACGCATAACGTCTTGGTGCAAGTTCAATATGTGCTTTTATTCTTTAAACGTTTCGAGATTCTCACAACCGACGACAAAAAGAACTAACTCTTGTCGAGTTAAGAATAAAATAAACAAAGTTTCGACGTTTCATGTTTATTCGTCTCCTCTTTTGTAGAATTCATTTTCGATAATTCTGCCAGAATATGAGTAAGAAGAGACCATTCAAAAAGCTTTTGTTATTGTATCGCGACTTGTTCTTGAATACACGTTATAAGGATTGCTATATAAATTTTTACAACGGGTGTGATTTAATAACTGGTTCATACACCCTCAGATGCCCAATCTATAACTTGAACAATAACAAGTTACGATTCAATTGGGGAATTACAATAACATTCAAACCTGAAAGTTCATGGTGACGCCATATGCAGTGCCCCATAAAAAAAATTTTTTTTTATTCAATGTCTCGGAATAAGTTTATCGCTGATATAATAGTATCACATTTTTTAATCAAGAGAATTAATTGATGATATACTGTACATGTTAATATTAATATGCATGTAATTTAAAGCCATCACAACTGTTACTGCTTATGCAAAGAATAAAATTCTCTTTGTCCGTCGTTATATAAGCTTTCCACCATTCCTGCTCTTCGTCTTTGTACCATAGTAACGACACTTTCCAATCAGATGTCATAGACAAAACGGGGGTGTTGATGACTACCATGAATAGCAACATCATAAGCTGGGTTACCTTAGCACGTATCAATTTAGGTTAATCTAGGTATCACTGTAGGTGTTAATATTGTTCATTATGATCTGACCAGCTGATCGTTTATCCGCCGCTAGTCTAAATGGAGTAATGAGGAGGTGAGACAGAGAACAATACCAACGGAGCGGCGGATAACGATAAGCGAATCGGGGTTATGGTTGAAGGGATGGGTGAGAGGGTTAGTGGATCGGGGTAACATGATGGGGGGGGGGAAAGAACCGAGAGCAAAAACTGTGTATTCATACATAGTACTGTAAGTGTAACAAACAAACATATACTCGAGAAAGAGAGAGGGGCCGGATACACTTAGTCTAGCCTTGCATATCGTATTGATAAACTCACATATTAACATCACACACATGGAAAACAAGAGATTATTTCTTAGAATCAATTTTTATTATCATACAAAGGGTTTGCGTAGTGAGATTTTTGAGATTAATTACAGATATTATCGGAATGGAAAAAGAAACAAACAAACAACAAACTTTTTGAACTGACAGGTTTTAATTATTATAGGGTTACTTTTTCTTTTCTTCCTCTTTTCCGTTTTTCAAGATTTTTGTGTTGTAGTTGTTGGATTGTTATCCGTTTGTTTGTTTTTGTAACTAGGGAAAATTATTTATCCATGTTTCATTAGAGGATATGTCGTATTATTAGTATTATTCAATCATCAGATTTGACCACTTCAAAGATTTCACAATCATCGATGGCAAAATTACTCTCATCCATCACAGAATTTTCGTAATATGCTTGCCGACACACACATCGATCAGTCTCCAAATTGATAAACAAGTCACTACCAAACCGAGGACCAAACCACGAAAATGGAATATACCCTCCTTCCCTCTCCTCAACCATCCTGCTCATGACTGCACAGTCTCGTAGACTGCCTTGTTCGGGTTCCGAAAAACTGAATATGAAACTTTTTTCCCACCCATCTTTAATCTCCTTCTTGGCGCCAGCAGTGTTCAAGCCGACTGGTGCATATCCGCCCACAAGTTTGTAAGAGTTTTTGACTTTGGCCACAACAACCATTGGCGTTACCCCCGAGCATTGACTCCTGTAATCTTCGGATACAAATCCATATCGGCTCTTGCGAAAGATAAGATTGAATCGATAAGATGATCGAGGATGAAATATTTGTTGAGATAGACGTTTAATCCGGGACGATGGTTTGCGAGACAGTCGAGCGTTGCCTGCTTCGATCCATTTGGAAATTATCGATGCGTGAAAGTGGTTGATTATGGTCGAATCGCGGAGAATGACTTTGGGTTGGATCGGTATATAATCGGCCTTTCTACGTCGTAGGTAGTAGTCGAGGACTTCGTTGGTGATATCGTCCGGGATTAGTTTTGCACATGGAATGATTTTTTGACAGTATACGTTTCGGGATAACGAAGGAAACATGATTTCTTCCAATAATGTGCTAAGCTTTTCTTTTATCTTTTCGCAGTCATCGCTAGTCCAATGTTCTGTACCGTTGTTGTTATTGTTGTTGCCGTTGCCGTTGATGCAGCAATTGTTATTAACACTATTATTGTCATTGTTATTATTATCACCGTCACTATCATTCTCGCTCTGGTCAAACGTCAGGGTTCCATTACAGGCCCAAGCGATCAAGCAATCCCAGACCAGTCCCATACCCAATTCGTGTGTTCTTTTCACTACCAGATCCATGACGGTTTCTTCTTGCAATTGTCCAAATTCCTCGGACCCAAACAACAACCTGGGGTTCTTTGTTACCGTATCTAATATAAATGTTCTCAATAGCGAAAATCCTCCTTCATAGTGGTAAAGAGCGTTGAGTAGATGAACTAGGTTGGATAAGGTCCAATTATGCGCAGTCGTCAGAAAGTGAGTTTGGATTTGTGATGTGAGGTCGTCAAGCGAGAGTTCGTCTGACGAAATGAGGAGAGAGAGTAGGAAAGAGGGGGAGAGTCTTTCAAAGTCGATCGTAGATATATGAATATATCTTTTTTTTTTTGAATAATCCGTTAGTATAAATATAAATAAATATATGTATACATACGCTATGTAATGTGTAATTTATAGTAAACTTACTTTAGTATGATTTCAAATACATCCGGTTCAACTCTTTCCAGATCTACCACGTATAGACCTGCTTCAGATTTTTTAGCCCATCGACTACTCAATGCAGCAGCAAAGAAACCGCTTTTTCTTAATACTTTTGAATATGACCAGAATTCTTCACGATTCTCGCCCTGTCCTACACGAATGATAACATCGTATTCTTCTCGAGGATTGAGAATAGAGTTATTGTGAGAGGCATAAAATGCAGCATAGATTTTTGCGAAATCCGCACATAGGTCGTGAGTGGTTTGTGACTCGTGTTTGCTTCGGGAGAGAGATTGTGAATCATAGTTGGCGGGAGGGTTGTTGTTGTTGTTGTTGTTATTATTATTATTACGGGATTCGAGGATATGGGAATTGTATGTGTTGGAAGAACCATTTCGTGATACGCGTTTGTATGATAGTGATGAGTCAAAATGGTCGTCATAACCCTCATCCGCCAGCGGAAGCAGCTTGTCGTTATTTGGCATAATCAAACCCAACGGCGACTTTGGAAACATTGGTGATTAATTAAAATTTTCTGTGATTAGGGTGAGTATAAATAGTGAATGGGAACTCAATGAAGTTTTTTTGGGGGGGGCCAAGTCTGTTGGATATATTTAGATTATACTATTATACGTATTAAATTATTTATATTAGAACCGTATTAGATCAACTAATCCGATTAGATTAAAGTTGTTTACCCTGTGACCATAAAAATGTGATGGTTGAGTTGAGATGGCGGGACCGAACAGGGAGTTTTTATAAGAATAGATTTTGAGAATGTCAATACGAAAAGAATAATACATATGATATATTAGTACAACTGTGTAAGGAATTCGACTATTGTATGTCGCGTTCTCAGTGTAACAAGTCAATCTGTAACAGGAGATGTTTACATTTTTGGCAAGCGGCACATCTAACTATTGTTTACTCTTACTTCCCAAGTCACAATTACGACGATCCTTAATATATATCACACTCCTAATGTAAACATTATTGATAATGAAACGATGTTGTATTGTTAGGTTGCTTTATTATTTTTCTTATTTAGTTACATGACTAAGACCGTCTTATTTACTATTATCACCTATTACTATTATTACCACTATTATAGTTAGTGACATTATTTTATCATTAGTGTGTTACTGTTAGTGTGTTAGCGTTAGAGTTAGTATTAGTATTAAAGTTAGTGTTAGTGTTAGTGTTAGTGTGAGTAATGTTAGAAGCATTACTATAACTGTTATATTACTATGCTACTACAATATTGTCCTATTACCATTACTACCATCGCTACCATCAACTACCATTACTAACATTACTGGTATGCTGCTGGTATCGTATAACACTCATTCCCATTCACCATTCACGCAGTACACTCACCACTCCATTCCATTTACGCAGAACACTCATTCCATCCCGTTCCATTTGCCCATCTGTTTCACTCCATTCCATTCACGCAATACATTCATTCCATTCCCATCTATTTCACTCTTTCCATATCCATTCCATTTACACAGCCCATCTATTTCACTCCATTCCATATCCATATCCATTCCATTTACTCATCCATTGTGCCTTCCACCGATTCCATGCATATTACCGTTCCGTACATCCCGACCCTTTCATTTGCATCGTAATATTTCCCCGATGTTTTGGTTATTTTCCCAAAATGGTTACAATAAATCGGTTGTGCTACCCGGTTTGAATATCAGTGAGATAATATGTGAGACGGGAGTTCTGACGACGGTGCAGACGGTACTCGTCATTGTGTAGAACGATTGGGCCGAGCAATCATCTGTGCTTTGATGAGCAAGCAGACTAACGTAAGGGTCTATTGGTCTAACGTATGTTCTGTATGTGTGTGTCCCATCGGATGTATTTACTTTTGTGTCACTTATGGGGTGATATTGTGTTCTCGATGATCATTAACTATTTCAATTGTTGGTCATTGAACTACGAGCATGGTAAGTGGCTGGTTGCGTATACATATTGTCTGAAATGGCGATGTACAGACCAAAAGTGTTCATAGTGATTGTTCAGGTTTTTGTGCGGCTGAGTTTTTTTAAAGTCCCAAAGTAAACCAGATTCTATGACATCAGAATAATAGCAAAACCTGATCACTAACCGGTTGATATATAATTTTTACGCTAGTTGCATGCTATACGATGATTGGCGAATGCAACTGACGCAGTATGCAAAGGTCATTTCTTGGCTTGAACAAAGACTAATGTGATGTCAGAGCTTTATTGTTATACAATAATACGAGCGTGAGATTACTACATATTTAGGCTGTAAGTATTTCATAACGCAATTGGACGATAAAGAGATAAGCAAGAATATGTTGAATGCAAAACTTTCTAAATGCAAGTATACTGTGCTTATCGAAACCCACTCACCTACCCACACTCACTCACACACTCACACCCTCACTCACACCCTCGACACACATACCATATGCAAGTTTGGGATTATCTAGCTGCAAAGCATCGATAAATAGATGCATCCGTGGTTTTCCAAGATAAAAATGGCTAGCGTTCACAACTTACTATTATTCCCTATTCAAGTAAGTTCGGAACCAACAGTCTTCTCCGTCATAACGCGCAAAAACCCCCTTTTTTATCTAAATAAAAGTAGACTCTCGCGTATATTTTAATGTATGCACACAGCCATTGTGACGTTAGCGTATGCCAATTAAATAAACGCGCTTTCCGAGTACATTTTGCATTATCATATGATACCCCTTGTCACTTGTACAACATTTACCAATAGTGTTATTACATTATACCATATGTGAGATATAGCATGGGTGTAAACATCACAGATCACCATGCCTTAATATTGTTCTCGTCGTCAAATCCGAATCCCTTAATTTATTAGTGACAAAACAGAATGTAAATATCACATATTCTTTATTTATCAGATACAAGATAATCGGCATTCATAATTTATAGATAAGATCAAAGTTTTTCCTATTTTTTTTTCTTCCCTGTCCTCTTTTGATTTGCATCTGAAAAAAGTTTTTGACGATCATCGTTCATCTAACTTGTTCGTCCACCCGTAATTCATCGCTTGGCGAATCTAGGTTCTTCCTTTAACCCTTTTCATTTTCGGAATAACCGATAATAATCATTTGATTTGTTTGATTGAGATGTACTCTCTCTTTTTTTCTTTACAGCTTACATCTTGGTAGATCTACAATATGATGCAAAAGTCGAGCATATCGTTAAATGCTCTTGCAAAGTACGGAAAGTTACACCCGGACAATATTTGTCGAATTGTTATTACAAGTCGAATTACTTTTAATTTATAGTATTACTCAATATAAATATTAATACAATTGAGCAGCTACCATTACGCCAAAGCAAATAAATTACTATCAGTATATTCGTTTTTACATTTTTGTTTACTGCAAGTTTCCTTAAACATTATTATTTCAGGGACTGCTCGGAATATCCATTCATCATATATCTTTATAATTTTGTAGAAGGTTTCAATTTACACTTTTTTCTTTACAATTGTCCAGAAATATTCACGTCGAGACTACGAGTTCTGAGAACGTGTATCTCTAAACATTTTTACAATATCCAAAAGCATTTTTATTTTTACCCGAATATACTTTCTACTTCAAACTTTATCATTCATTGTCCGTTTGAAACGATATAGCCCCCCTCCCCCCCAAGCGACTATCCATTCCATATTTACAAGTGGTCATTCATCCTACGTTCGTTCTTCGTTCTTTAATCGCGTTGGATATAATCAAAGATTGATTTGTTTTATTAAATATTGTTTCCGCCGGTTGAACTCATTCAGCAGTCCATGTCATAATCAGAGAGGAGCTTTTAGATTTACTTTGAACAAAGTGATCAACTATCATGTCGACTCGGGAGAAGAGCTTGCACCAAGCTTGTACAATGCATTGGACAATACTTGATAGTTTGTTGCATACTATAACAATAAAGTAATTTCTTTCAACCTTTTATTCTTTTTCACAGCTTAATACATCTACTCAAAGATTACTCTGACAACGTTCTCGTAAATACAGTAAATGGCAACAAATTTCATAAACAAACCAAGACCTTCTTTCAATAAATATCAAATAGCGAAAGATACACTTGACATTACGTTTTTACGCATCGAAACTCTACGACTTGGCGAGTAATAAGTAGTTGCGTCCCGAATAATAACGAAACGATCAGGTCGCTTCAGAACACCAATATCTCTAAATTGGGTATTTTTTTGTAGCTGGGTAAAGTACATGTGTACACGCTATTCATTTTATTACAATTATATCTCTAAGTAATCTGAAAAAATTGCTAATTATAGTTTCTATCATTTTTTATACCCATGCTAGAACCTTATGGCTTTGAAAATCCGACATGAAAAAAAGCGTTATCGATTATGTTGCTTAATTAATAAGCCGTCGACGGTTGATTACTGTTCGAAAAAAAATTAAATGCGAAGACAAAGACAATAGGCTTTAGTAATGCCAGCGACTCTTTATAACAGATCGGATATTCAGCAATCAAAGAAAGGTAGATTTTATAAATTTGACTTTCGCTTTTAACTCTGTCTATCAAACATTCTGTGCTATGCATTGACATGTTCATTTTTACTGTCTATGTGACAAAGCAAATTTGTAGAAACTTGAATCTCGAAAAAGAGAACATATGTATTCAACTAACTGACCAAAAATCCGGCATATCCTGCTGCCATAATGCTCTATCCACAACGTTACATATTAACATAACGATTCCAGGTGTTTTATTATTTTATCTATAATTCGTTAATCAATTTGTAATCAATATGACATTCTCGTACTCTAGCAAGAGTAGCGTCGTTATAAGACTAATCCACTAATTATTCTTTTTCTTCTTTTTTTACAGCAGTTTTTCCGAGCGTAAGCACCATGTTTTATTCTCTCTGATGCACGCTCTGGTGCGTATAAATTACTCTGTATGATTGCAAACTCTGTAACATGCAATATGATTTCGTTGCATTGCATTTAAAGAGAAATCCACTGTTTATTGTTGTAATTTATTTTTATATCACTTTCTCTTTAACAGTGTCATACGTGAGATAGGCACCATCGACTATATATTAATAAAAGCGAACATAATTGACTAAAGGTAATATTAATTTTATACGATTGTATCGAAAATAAGGGTTGTTCTATATTCTAATGAGCAAATTATTTAGGGATCGGGGGAAAATTCTGTAGGCAATTGGAAAGTATCGAAGCAAAGTGCACAATCTAGAAACATTGTCAGCAAGAGCTTAATAAATACACGTAAGTTGGTAAAACTTATAACAGGTAATAATTGTGAGAAAATTTAGCTACGTGTTGATGTTAGCGTCAAGCGTCATATACCATTGTCTCCTCGTCTTTGTATTGGAAAGATGCAAATTTATCAAATACTTGACATGGATATAATTGTGCCAACTTTGTTCGTCTACCGTCCAATGAGACAGTTTCGTAACTCAATTTCTCAGTATTTAAACAACAACCTCTAGCCTAGTA